TATGGCATGCTATGTACGAGACCCGATATTGCGTATGTTGTGAGTGTCACAAGCAGATATCAGTCTAACCCCGGCCCGGCTCACTAGAAAGCCGTGAAAGATATCCTCAAGTACTTGCGAAGGACTAAGGATATATTTTTGGTCTATGGGGGTGCCGAGTTGAAATTAGAGGGTTTCACTGACTCTAGTTTTCAATCGGACGTGGACGACTCAAAGTCGAATTCTGGATTTATATTCACGCTTAATGGTGGTGCCGTGTGTTGGAAGAGTTCCAAGCAAAGCACGACGGCCGATTCCACTACCGAAGCGGAATACATTGCAGCGTCTGAAGCTGCAAAAGAAGGGACTTGGATAAGGAAATTCATCCAAGAGTTGGGTGTCATTCCTGATGCTAGTGATCCAGTACCATTGTACTGTGATAATACCGGAGCCGTGGCGCAAGCTAAGGAGCCACGATCTCATCAGAAGTCGAAGCATATTCTGAGGAAGTATCACGTGATCCGAGAGATCATTGATAGAGGTGAAGTTAAGGTAGAACGAGTCACCTCGGAAGAGAACGTTGCAGACCCCTTCACGAAGCCTTTACCAAGATCGGTCCATGAGAAACATCGAGAGTCGATGGGATTGCGGTTTATGGGTAGTTGGCTTTAGGTCAAGTGGGAGATTGTTAGAGTAGGTGACCAACAAGCCAACATGTGGCTGTGGTCTTTCGTATTTATTATTGTAATAAACGAACCTTTATTCGTATTAATGATAAAACACATTGGCATTCTATATCTTTGTCCCTTTGTCACAAGCATAGATATAGTCCTTACAGTTATTACAAGTACTAGTAATTGATCGTTAGGATCGTGAGATATTTACTTAAGTATTATAACTGTTAAACATGTTCCTAGTCGAAGGGTTACGCCACTAATGAGGATATCGGCCTTTCCCATTAAGACTAGCACTTAGTGTATGTGTACTGCATCTCATCAGTAAACGGTATTGTGATATCGGCATGCATAAGTGGGTGCTCGTAAGTTGACGAGTTCACTGAACTCCCTCACCCTAGAAATCTCTAAGTGGTTCCCAATAATCGAGTAGAGATGTCTATGGTATAGTTGTACACCATTAGTCCTTATGACCTAGACATCACCGTGACTTCACTAGAGGACCAGCTGTGTCGTGACCTGTCCCTGAGTTCCACCGAGGACCATCCCAAGGGCCAGTGTTCGTGCAGTCCGAAATCTAGTGGGAGGTCTGTGCATTGTAGTCGGGGATTCGATCGCTAGAATAGTCTTGGATGTCCTGTGTGTTCTCAAAGTTTGTAATCATTCTAAGTCTCTGGCCAGAGCTGACTAAGTGATGATTAGAGAATTCGATTCTCTAAGTCATGCACGTAAGGATTACAATACTTGGAACGATCGCACCGTCATCGAACATATAAAGAGGTCTCGATGAACCAATGCCTCTAGTTCGATCGGGACATATGAATCGAAGGGACCGTACTGTACGTTAACTATATCTGAAGGTTCTTGCAGGCACTTCATTTGTATCTAGGGAATCATGACGCGTAGTTGCTAGACGCCAATCTTGATTCGTTGGGTGATTAAGGTGAAACGAGCTTCATCTTAATCGTAACTCTAAGGGACGAGTTTTGACCACAAAGAGTTGTGGGCCCACGGCTAGCTTACACCTGAACCATCGAGGGTCACACTGCTCGTGCACATGAGATCTTTGAATAAACGGTCAGAGATAAAATAGTTTATCTTTGCATAATTGGAAGTCAATACGATTGAGTCCAACATTCATAATTTGGAATTACGAATGAGAATAAGAAAATGAAAAGAATAGGCGAACATGTTAGTGAACTTTCTAAATCGGGAAGTTTCCATATTTAGAAAGTGCACTGAACTAGGGTTTCCACTTTTAGAAAGTTGGAAAATGAGAATTGACACTCGTGATGACGAGGACTTTATAATGATTCCGAAAATGTAATCGTTGCATTTTTTCGGTCATTGGATTGAGAGAAACGAGCAAGTAAAAGTACTAGCGAACTTAAGCTGTTGGGCCCGGTCCAACTTAAGCCCGCTAGGGTTTTATGCAAGACACTATAAATACAAGATTTATAGGTCTTGCACAAACACAACACAAAAAACCCTAACCCTAGCCGCTCGTACCCTCTCTCTCTCGGCCCTCTCTCCTCGGCCACCGCGCCGCCGTCGCCGGAGCTTCACCGGAATCGGCCATTCATTGGCCGATTGTTTCGGTATTGTTTTTCCTTCTCTTTTTCTTCCGTTTTTCTAACTATTACGTGTCTAGTGCCACGTGTTTAGTAGATCGAAGTATACGAGGTGAAATCCGAGAGGAGGAAGACCAAAGATCGAAGAATCGAGGAGCAGCGCACGAGCCGAAGCCGCACGCTGCCCCACGCGCCGCCCCGGAAGAGCGCGCGTGAAATTCACGCGCCGCCGTGAGCCGTCTCACCGCCGCTGCCGCTGCACCGCTGCTGCCCCGATTGTACGGATTGGTTTCCGTAGCAATCTCGACTTGCCAAGCGCTCCTACCTCACACTTCAAGAGGTAAACACACGAATCCCTTGTTTCGATTCGTTTATGTTTAAACTATATTTTCATGTTTGCTTTCGTATGATTTTATGTGATTATGTGTAATCATTTTAATCGTTGCAAGCATGTTATTTGGTTTAAACGCGAGCATGTTAATTGATTTAAATTTGGTTAAATTATTTAGCATGTATGTTGTTTTAATTTCGCTGGAAGCGCAAAGGTACGCAATTAATTGATTTTAATTTGTCGGGCATGTGCTTGTGTGCTTTAAAGTCGTTTAAATCACATTAAATTTTTGTTTTCCGCTGCGTACACGTGCCTGAAACTCAACAATCATCACCCGACGGTGCCCTCGTTAATCCTATACTCTTTTTGAGTCTCTCCAAATACCAGAAGCCGTCATTCAATAGGCAACGATCTCTCTCCGATTGCCTCGAGTTGCGGCTCTTGCCGATTCATTCAGGCCGAGGATGAAACCGGTAATAAAAAACACCGACAACTTATGTTTCGAGAACTCATCGGAGCAAAGCTGTTAATTCATCCTATCTGTAGCCAATTTTAGACCGAATTTTCAGATTCGGTTCAGATCTGTATTCATGATTTTCGATAAAAATGTGGTTTGTAATTGATTTTCGATATATTGTGGAGTGTAGTTGATTTTTTATATTAATTTTCTCTTAAACCATTTTAGGCATCCGTAGCGGCGATTCGATGTGGCAGAGTGGTAATTGGCGGTTGACGCAAGTGATTTGCATCCTTTCTTCACCTGAGAGTGATTGGCATGTAGAAGTTAGGGAGTGGTTGAGACGGCGGCGATGGAACAAATCACCCTCACAACTTTCGGATTCAATACATGATCGGTGAAGATATAGCCCTTTCTCGATGGATATGCGGCTGTAATGTTGAGAATCTGGATTCAACTATAGTTGATTATAATTTCTCTTAAATTGACATTTTTTATTTTATAGTTGATTTAAATAAATTATAGTTGTTTTCGAATTTTATAGTTGTTTTCGTTACGGTTGTAGTTGGTTTCAATAATAGTCGTTTTTGTTGGAATTTTGGTGTATTTTTTGGCTTTTGCTTTTGTGGATTTCAATAATTTGTAGTTGATTCAATATAGTTGTTTTCGTATAGCAATATAGTTGTTTTTGCACAACAATATTATTGTTTGAATAAATAGTTGATTTTAAGAAATAGTTGTTTTGGAGATGTTTTGATTAAATAATTAGTTAATCTTACAATGGAAATAATATAATATATAATTAACTTAATAAATTGTGAAACTGATGTATTATTGTTTTAATACTAATTGTTTTAATAATAATTGTTTTAATAATAGTCGTTTTATTGGCATATAGTTGTTTTAACTGAAAACTAAAAGAATATAGAAAATGAATATTTAAAGAAAAATATTTAAAAAAAAATTTTTTTTAAAAAAAATATTATTTTTTAAGAAGAAATAAATAAAAAAACGAAAATTAAAATTAAAATAAAAAAAATAAAAAAAATATCAAACTAGTGGATAATAAGTAGTGAATAGTGGGAGGGTAAATTTGAGAATATAAAAAGAATGGGTTTCTCACTAATAAAGGAAAAGGAGCTGGATCCATCTTTATTAAAATAATGTTAGAGGGGGTTCTCACTAATAGTCCCTAAAAAATGGGTAAATTATAGTCATCCCAATGTAAGGTTAAATTACAAAAAGACCCATCATGTTCGGGTAATTACAATCAGCTCCCTTAACTATGGATCTTCTTACACCTTCACTTTTATGGTGTCAAATTCAACAGAATTTTCTAGATTTCGTCGGATGTTCTCTAGTTTGTACTCATTTTGTGCAAAAATGCAGTTTATGATGCAGTATAATCTAATATTTGCAAGTCAATATACACATTTTACTATCATCTGTTTCAAAATGTGGAGTTCGAATGAAGTAAAACGGATACAAACTGAAGAATATCCACATAATCTAGAAGATTCCACTATATTTGATACTACAAAAACGAATGTGTAAGAAGATTCATAGTTGAGGTAGGTGGTTGTAATTACCCAAATATGCTCGTAATTTGACCTTACCTCAGGGGTGGCCGTTATTTGCCCTACAAAATTTAAAACCACTTATTCTTTATTGCTAATTCTTAAGGGTAAATTACACCTACACCCTTTAGGTATGCTAAAGCCTAAAATAACTTTAAGGTCCCGGAAGTATTTGTAATTACAATCAGCTCCCCAAAACATTGTTAGAAACCCTAACGGAGTAATGCATTGGATAAGTTACTCCGTTAGAGTTCTAACGGACTATTGGTTTCGGGCATTGCTGGAGACAACGTAGAAATAGGGGATGACATGACTCTCTTAACATTTCTTAAATATTTATTATTTTATATAAGATTTATATATTTTCGTATATGGTAGCATTAACGGCCCACGGGGAATAAATATAGTGCATATCGGTCGTCCGGACACGAAATCTTGGCTCTGGTAATTACTTTCGGTGTGTGGCTGTAATTACCAATACGACAGGGACCTTAAATTTATTTTAGCATATCTAAGGGGTGTATATGTAATTTACCCAATTTTTAATTATTGCAGTACCCGAATCGAAAATTATTTCTCAAATTAAAAACACCCAGGCAGTACTCAGTAAGATAAAACATTTGAATTGAGGTAAGTGAAGAAGACGGAGCCTGGTTCTTCAAAAATCGTCAGTTGCTTATACGGCGGTTCTTCTATCGTAAACAAGCGTTCGCATTTATCGATTCTGGGTTCTAACATAAATCTTTTCACGCACATAAGATTTTAATGTTCGCGCCATTTGAAATTTGCTGTTCTGCTTCTCAAGATTCATGCACTCAAGGTGTTTGATTCTTGTCCCAAAAGACTTTTCCTAGCTTATTTCCATTGCGTCCGATTAACAAAATCCCTCTTGCTTTCCCTTTCACCTTATCCAAATGTACTCCACCAGACTCTACTCCGTAACTATCTTTTTAAAGAATTATACTCTTCGAACATGCCATTTTTCTACAGCAGCTCGAAATTTAAACAAGGTCACATTATACCTCCAAAGGGCAAAGCTAATCGATTCGATAAGGCTGTGTCTCCGATCGAACGCACCCGAAACCTCTCTTGTCAACATCTTGAACAATCCTTTAATGGACTCGTTCGTGGTGACCAATGCGCTCCGCTCGGCTCCCTCGCCCACTGCAGCTCTCTCTTTGGTCGAAACTCTAAAAAATATCAAAGATTTCTCTCATTCCCAAGATACCCTCTATGCACTAGCCAAGATTCTTGCCAAATCCGGACAAACTAGTAAACTCAGAGCATTGATCGATGCCATCAATAGTGGCAAGTTCGTAAATGTGGCGTATGTCAGTTTCATGGATCGGATGAGGTGGTATGCAGAAACGGGTGACCTAGACGAGGTTACTAACGTTTGGGAAGAGTGGAGAAGAGCCTTGGACAAGCATCCGTGTACCGAGTCATATAATATTGTAATGAAACTTTGTGTCGAGAAGGGCTTTGACGAAAGAGCAATAAAGGTATTCTGCAGGATGATTGACGAAGGGGCGCTTCCGAATTGTAGAACCTACACTGTTATTATTCAGCATTTAATTAAGTTTGAGAAATTAGATCCTGCTATGAGAATATTCCAAATGCTGCCATTGATGAGAATTCGACGTACGTTAAAGCAGTATTCTTTATTGGTCGAAGCTTTTACGGGTTCCGGCAATTTAGATGTTGTCAAGACTTTGCTTAACGAGATGCGGGCCGACGGGGTATTACCTGGCCGAGCAATGATTACGTCTCTGCAGCATATGAAAGAGGCTGGATATGCTGACGAGGTGGATGAATTAATCAAGGAAATTATCCCGGATGATAGAATAAAAAGTATAGGCTATTATTCGGTAGTCAATCCCGACGAAGATGATGATGTCATCGATGATGACGAAAATGATGATGTCAAAGATGAAGTTCGTTTGAAGCCATGGTTGGATCCAGCTGCTTTAGCCAGTGCTTTACAGTATTGGGAACAAGAAGAGGTTTCTGCATTGGAAGCCGCGAACTTTACGTGGACCCCACGATTAGTCTGCAAGATAATCAGGAGTCTAAGATCGCCCGAAACTGCATGGCAATTCTTCTGTTGGGTTGCTCAACAGCCGGGATTTGTTCACGATATCTACACGGTATCGAGAATAATTACGAAATTAGCCCGACACGGATGCGTGCAATTGGTCGACCAGCTCTTGTTCAAAATCAAGCGCGAGGGTATGAAACTGTCGTTCAGCACGGTCAGACTGATTATCGATTTTTACGGGTTTTCAAGAAAAGGAGACGCAGCTCTAAACATCTTCCACAACATCAAAACAATATGCGGGCCCCTCTCGAAAAACAGTCGGCTGATACTGTACTCATCTCTCTTGAGAACACTAGCAAAGTGCCAGATGAATAACGAAGCATTGGATATACTCGACGAGATGATCTTAATCGGGATTTCACCGGATTTGCAGACTTTTTCCGGCTTGATGCATCACTACGCACTTCAAGGTGATGTCAAGACTGTGCAGAGGCTACTCGTAATGGTGAGGCAGTGCGAATTGGAGCCGGATTCTTACATGTACAAGATTCTAATATGCGCTTATTGCAAGTGCGAACGGGCTTCTCTCGCGCTGAGGGTTTTCGAGGATATGAGGAAATCGAGCTTAATGCCCGACGGTGTTACCAAGCAGCTGCTCGTGAAGAGTTTATGGAAGGAAGGGAAATTACGAGAGGCGGCTCAAGTAGAAGAAACGAGCGAGGAATCTACCGACGCTATTCCGCTCGCTTTGCCGGGGCATTTGTATACTGTGAGTAGTTCTGATCTTACAAGGGTGCATGAAATTTACTCCAGTAGTTTTGCAGAGAGTTCTTTGGTGACGTCAGCATGACAAGATTCTGTCGAGACAAGAATTTGAGGTTTGTTCTTTTTTAAACTTTTAAGTTCCAGGTCAGCTTTGTTGGACCTCTTGACTTATTGGTGTTTTTTTTGTTTTAAATTAATGTGGAATAAACTTTACATCTTCTAAACTAGATTATTAATTTGTTTTTTTTTTTTTAAATTTAAGTTATTATAATTATTGGGCATCTTCAGTTGTCTGTTGTATTTGATCCTCTGGCAAGATGACAAAAGTTGATGAAGACCTGCTTCATAAGATTAGGTTTTTTAAGTAGCCAATTACGATCCGAAAATATTTGAATTTGAAACTGTATTTTTCATTCCGATTTTCGATTTTTTGGAATGGAGTCGAAATTAAATATAAAATTACCGAAAATTCTTATTTTCGATCCGATTTTAGTTCTGAATATTTCAATTGTTTTTCGAAGTATATAATATAATTTTATGATATACTTTGTAATTCCATAATATAACTTATGTTATATTTTATATAACAAATATAAATACATAAAGGTCAAGTAAATTAAAACCTTACAAAAGATGAATTGCTATCAGAAACTCTCTGTTGCATTTTTCGTTATTAGAAAATTTTTGTTTCATTTGTTGCTCCTACATGTTGTTTTATTTATTGCCTTTTATCGAACTCTCTTTTAGATTTTTTTGCATTTTCCTGCAAAAAATTGTAAAAGATAGAAAATATTGTGAAAATTCCACTATATCCGAATTTGGAACAAGTGAATTTAAACTAATGTAAGTTCCGAAATTCCGCCGATTCCGAGGTATTCCAAAATCGGAATGAATTTTTGAATTGTGATTTTTTTGGAACGGAAATCGGAATCTATTTTTTACTTCTAAAAAAAATTAATTTTTTTCCGAAAAAGTCATTTCCGACTCATTCCGTCCGATTTCCACCCCTGGCCCCATTGTATTAAGTAGTAAACACACTCTCTCTCTCTCTCTCTCTCTCTCTCTCTCTCTCTCTCTCTCTCTTGCCGTCTGAACTTGGGGTTTTCTTATAAACTAATATTGAGTACTTCCAATGACAATGTCAAAAATGGCATCTCCACAGCAGTTGAAACTTGTAAGAAAATATAATTTAATGATTTGCCTTATGCACAATTTAAAATATAATTAAATAATAATTGGTAGAGAATTTTAGACAACACACATAAATTAGCAACACTCCTTTCTTCCACACCATACTTAGAAAAAAAAAATTAAAATGGCAGTCTCTCTTAAAAATCCCTTTCTAATAACAATCTCTTCTATGTTTCTACTTCTTACCACAGCTTCTGCTCAGTTACCAAACAACACCGCTACCGCAGACTCGCCGCAATCTTGCAACACGTACATCACGTATCGCGTAAAACCACCCTACTCGAATCTCGGAGCGATATCCGATCTTTTCGGAATAAGCCGATTGGATATATCAACAGCCACTAATCTGGCATCGGAAGATGCCCGTTTGATTCCCGATCAGATTCTTCTGATACCGATCAAGTGCACTTCGAACGGGACCCACTATTTCTCCAACGTCACGTACCGGATCAAGAAAGAAGACAGCTTCTACTCTGTTTCGACGAGGCCTTTTCAGAACCTGACGAATTTTATTACGGTCGAAGAAACGAACCCCACGATGAATCCGAACAATTTGACTATCGGGGTCGAAGCGGTCTTTCCTTTACTCTGCAAATGCCCGAGAAAATCGTACTCGGAAAGTGGAATAAGGTACCTTATTACATATGTATGGCAGCCAAGTGATGACTTACTCTCTGTGAGTACTATGTTTCAGTCCGAGGTTTCGGATATTGTAACGGAGAACAATAACCGAAATTTCACCGCTTCGATTTGCCTTCCGGTTTTCATACCCGTGAAATCTCCGTTTCTTCTCCAAGTTTTTCATTCTTCACCTTCGAATAACAAACACAAACACCGCCTTATTTTCTTGATAGCGATTTCAAGTGGTTTTGCAGCTCTTTTTCTTGGTTTTGTAGGCTTAGGGGTGTACTTCTACCTATTGTACAAGAAAAAGAAAACATTTTTACCTCAAACGAGTTCCGATTCGGATATAATTCGACCTGATAAAAACTCGACTTTTGGACCAAAAATCACTCAAGGTAAGCTACTTCCTGGACTATCAGGCTATCTTGACAAAACCATCCTTTACGATTTTCATGTGATTATGAAGTCAACTACGAATTTCGCCGAACGGAATAGAATCGGAGGGTTGGTTTATAAAGCCATAATCGAAGATCAAGTTTTCGCTGTAAAGAAAACGAGAGATTCTTCAACGGAGGAGCTACAAATACTGCAGAGAGTAAACCACGCGAATCTAGTGAAGCTAATGGGAGTTTCCTCCGATAAAGACGGAAACTTTTTCGTGGTCAACGAATACGTCGAGAATGGATCGCTCGATAAATGGCTGTTCTCAACCGTTGGATCGCTTAGCTGGACCCAACGGTTGATCATAGCCCTCGATGTAGCCAATGGTTTGCAATACATGCACGAGCACACCCAACCGAGCATTGTGCATAAAGATATCCGAACTAGCAACGTACTTCTCGATTCGAATTTTCGGGCCAAGATTTCGAACTTCTCTGCAGCGAGATCGGTTTCTTGCTCTGTCATGCTCAATATTGACGTCTTTTCTTTCGGGGTTCTTGTTTTGGAGTTGCTTTCCGGGAAAAATGTTATGGAAACAACAACAACAACAACAACAACAACAACAACAACAACAACAACAACAACAAGAGATGGTGAAAGTTTGATGTTGTGGAAAGAAGTGAAGGGTATTTTGGACGGTGGAGATTTAATTAGGCGGGAGAGATTAACGGAGTGGATGGATCCAAATTTGGAAAGATCTTCGTACTCGATTGATGATGCTTTGAGCTTGGCTTTCTTGGCGAGGGCTTGTACGGCGGAGAAGGCGGCCGAGAGGCCGAAAATGGCGGAGATTGTCTTTAATTTGTGTGTGCTCGCACAGTCGTCGTCTCCGATGTCGGAAAATTCGTCGGTTTCGAAATTTGAGCCGGACGAAGTTTCACCTGTTATTAATTCAGTTATTGCTCGTTAGTAGTATTTTTTTAGTTAGTTAACTGTTTGTTTGGTAATAAGCTTAAGTGTTTATTGCATTTAGTAATAAATCTAAGTTGTTGTATGCTTGGTTCAAGGGATTGGGAATATACCAAAAAGTGAAATTAAATTTAGTTTGATCTAGAGTTATTTGAGCTTGAGAAATAATTATTTGTTGTGAATTTCCAAGTTGAGAGTGGCAAACCAAATTCTAAAAGCAGTAGCCCAATAAATCCAATTTCTAAAAATTAAATCTAAATTATTGTAGAAAATTTTGGAATAGAATATATTGAGATGCTCTCATAGATAGTTCTAGTAAATGAATAACATTCATTAGATTAAAGTATGTTGGCAAAAATCTTGACATTGATTAGGACATTACCCATCATAAATATGAGTTAGTGTGCTCCTTTAACATGAAGTTATTACTTACAAATTCTCGGTCCCGTCACTGAATTGGCGCATGTACTAATAAATAGTTAACATGTAAACTTTTCGACAATGTTTGATATTCTTATGAACATGCTCTTTATGTTATCTCAGAGTTTTTTTCCTTCACTAATTTTTAGCAATTACAGTATTTCCTTGACAACATACATTTGAATAAAAACAATAAAACTCTCTAAATAGATTATGTATAATCATTGCAAAACATATTTCGCGACACTTCACCCAGCACACTAATTAGTGATTGGTATTTCGACTTGTTCTATGGGAACATTCTTGATACAACGAATTTCCAAATGACAGTACTGGGTTGCGATAAAACATAGCATAAACTCACTTCTTCGTCGTTCTTGAGAACGATGTAAACGGTAAAATATAGAAAGTTAAATAATAAAAGTTGTATCTTAAGACTTCAAAATCAAGATGTTTTAATAAAAAATTCAACACAATAATATAAGAAACTGATAACATTTATAAATTCTCATATTTAATGTTATTAATTTAAAAATCTTCACTATTCACAAATAAATGTATATATATGATGACGTAAGAAATAAATCACCTAGTGTGTTGAAGCTGGGAGAGCAAAGTAGGTCACGTGCTCACGAGCTAGATAGTCCTGAGAACTTTAATTTACTCTAGGATCCTGCGAACAGAAAACACGTAATCTAAGCCGGGGGTTGATCCGGCGGAAACCCCTCCGACGCTCAAGTCAGACGTGAAGATAGTGGGTAAATGTAGAGAGAATTCGAATAGAAGAATTGAGGGAATAATAGTAATGTACCTTTATTAAATGAATTTAAGTTGTATTTATACTTTATTGATTGGGCCGAGATCAATTTATCGGGCCCAACTTTCTTTGGGTGTGATTGAGCCTTCGTATAAATAGCTATTAAGTTGGGCCTGTGGCCCAGTAAATATGGGTCTATTGGGTTGGATCAATAGGCATATCAATATAATAAATTTTGAAAATTAAAGAATCAGTTGACTTAAATATAAACAAATGCACGTCTAATACAAGCTCTAGTAAGAAATACAAATGCCTTCTAAGGACTAATTAAAATAAAATAAATATTTATTTTGGAAAATTAAAATATAATTTATTTCAATTAATTTTCCTACTTAACTATAGGGCTGGCAATCGGGCCATGTGAGCCGAGTTTAGGTCGGTTTAAGCTCATATACCATCGGACCTCGTAATTATAGGTTCAAGCTCAAATACCATCGGGTCTCGTGCCTATAGGCTCAAACTCGGCTCACATATTTTTTCGGGCTTGGGGTTTATATCAAACAATATATAAATTACATATTTTACAACTTTGTAGCCGAACATGTTTAAAAAAAACAACTTATACTATGATAAATTAAGAATATTCATTGCAAGTCGAAAACAATGATAAATTAAGATAAAACTTATATCTAGAATAATCATTGAAAGAAAAAAATAGTGATAAATTAAGATTATCTCCAATGATGACAAGATAAACCCTCAACTTAAATTTTGCAACATATTGTTAACGTTAGGATTTTGCATATACTAGGTTTTATATTTATATGAATGAAGAAAATGTTAGTATTTTTTAGATTAAGAAACTTTTCACTTGGATTTGATTAAATTTATGAATTAATTACTACTAGCTGTTAACTTGTTTACATCCATTTGTGTGTGTGTCTATATATATATATATATATAATTAGTAGGGCTTTATTCGGGTTGAGCTATGGTAAGCTCAAATTCGACTCATAGTTTAATCGGGTTTAATAAAGAGACTCAAACTCGGCTCGGCTCACAATTTATCGAGCTCGGCTCAAATAAAATCGGGCCGAGCCATCAGGCTTCGGGCAGGCCCGGCTCAAAGGCTAAATCCCTCGCCCCCAGGGCCCCCAGCAACATGGACACACGCACACAAGCACAAAGCAGCAATATAAAACAGCAACAAAAAAATCGTCTCATCAGCAGCGCCGCCGTGGTGAATTCCAGCTGCAGCGGGGGAGACGGCGGCGATAACAGCTGCTCTAACAGAACCTTGGTGCCAGAGGGAATGAAGGTAAATTACCTCGTCTCTGAGCCTTTGTTTGCGGATCCATTGGAGAAGAATGAAATGAAGTTGTTTTGTTCTTTAAGGGGTCAGTATTTGGGGGCTTTGTTTTGATAATCCGACGAAGAGATTGGCCAAGGGTTTTAGATTGAAGAGAGGGTCTTTTTGAAAGAACACTATTTTCTTTTTTCTTTTCCTTTTTTAATTGTTATTATATTTAACACATATTTTATTTATATTTGTTTGTTTAAAATTGAAAATTTATTAAAAATTCTTAGACATTACTTTTTCTTTTTCGCTTTATTTTATATTAAGGGTTTTTTATTAAGGGTAATTCTGTCATTTTACTTAAGTCAACGAGCCAGTGCACACAAATGGGCGATGGGCTGACTAAAACACAACAGAGGGGGTTATAAGCTAATTTTTTTTCCGGGGGGTTTTTTGCTTCCGAGAAATAACACAGGGGGTCTATGCAATTAACTCTTTTAAAATAGAAGTTAGTAATTGCTAGTTAAATTCATAATAAGTACTTATTTCTTAAAGTTTAAGTTGTTTGCAAAATATGGTGAGAAATTAATTTAAATAGAAAAAGCAATCCTAAGGATGTTTTATAAATTATAGCTTAAAAACATTTTATTTTAAGAGATTTGGAGCTCAAAAAAAATCTCAGAATCACTTTTCGAAAAGCTTTTCTATATCTTGAATTTCATCTCACCAAAAACATTTAGAAACACTATGGAGGTTTGCCGCGTCCCGAGGCAATTGCCGCCGATAAATCTCCGATTCAACCAATCGTCGTCGTTTCGCCGATCAACAGTGAGATGCAATCTCTCCCCAAACGCCGATAACTCGTCGGAATCTCCAATTGACGATCAGATGTTCATCCTCGGAATGGGTTTCGTTGGAAAATTCTTTGCTGCCGATTTAAAAGCCAAAGGCTGGTAAGCAACAAACCTCATTCGATTCACCTCCAAAAAAATTCAAACATATTATTCAATTGATTAATTTACGGTGAAGGGCGGTGAGTGGGAGCTGTACAACCGCCGCCAAGAAGGAAAAACTCGAAGAATTGGGGTATCAAGCTTATCTCTTCGATGCAAATCACCCACAGTAAGCAAACCCTAATTTGATTAATTGGGGGCTTTTAATTTATCTATCTCTGTGTTCATTGCTTGAATTTCAAAATTATGAGCACTGTGTATTTTTGCAGACCTGAAATACTAGAGATTGTGAAAAATCATACTCATCTTGTTATCTCCATCCCCACTGTTAAGGGTCTCGTCGGCGATCCGGTATATTTAGTTTCCGATTTTTTTTTTTTTTTTTTTTTTTGAGTTTTTCTAGATATTATTGCAAAGCTTAATTGGGAGTACATTTTGCAGATGCTTCGTCATAAAAGACTAGTCGAAAGTGTATTGAAGGATGGGAAACTCCGGTGGCTCGTTTACTTGTCGTCAACTAGTATGTCTCTCATATTTTCTTGGTTTATTCGGCATCTAGAATTTATATACGTAAAGCACTCTATCTGCAATATGATTCGAAGTGCAGAAAAAACTAATCTTTATGTTATGTTTAAATCTAGGATAAGAGGGATGGAAAGGGGAAAACCGAAAACGTGATATGCAAAATCGAGGAAAATTATTACACTATCGTTTTCCTTCGCAAGAAATTAGGTATTCTTCCGTATTGCTTGAATTTGAATTAGAACATTGAACAAACGCGTAAATTAGCAAAAAATCTCGTGTACTTGTTGTAATTGTATCTAGTGATCTAGTCTATTTACCGTCCTGTTTTTCTCTTGAAACCCAAAAACGAAAAAAGAAGCATTTTGTTTGTATAAGTACGTGTTGTTTTCTTTGTTATCGTCTCAGTGTCGTTCATTTCATCTGATGCACAGGTGTATACGGAGATTGTGGTGGTGCATGGGTAGACGAAGAGTAAGCATTCATTTCAAAATTTACATTTTTGCCCCTGTGGAGATATGGCATCCTTACTTACAAGACAAACACGTCATTTTCGTTATCAGTTATCCAGTAAATCCAACAAATGAAGTCGCTAGAGCAAGATTAGCTGCAGAGCAAGAATGGTTATCCTTGGGCAATAATCTCGGTATTGCAGCACAAGTATTTCGTCTAGGTGGCATATACGGCCCCGGTAGAAGGTTAGTGTTAAAATATTCAAACGGGCATTTATTTGAATTGGTAATGATTTGAAAATGAATCTTTTTTTTTGAAATGTATGATAGTGCAGTTGATACCATACTTAAGCAGGAGGCTCTCTCGAAAGGTCAAAGAAGAAGACTGTCGAAAAGTTATACGTCTCGTATTCATGTTGCTGACATATGCCAATCACTAAATGCTAGTATTTCAAATCCATCTTCTGGGTAAGTTGTGAATCTTCAGTACGTACTTTCTGGTCCTCGATAATTGAATTTCCGACTTCTGCCGATTCCAATCCGAAATTTTCGATTTTGGGAGAATAGTTTTCATTCTTAATTTTGAAAATTCCGATTTCCGATTTTTTTTGGGTCAGAAATGGAATTTATTTGAGATTTCGATTTCTGATACAATTTTAATTTTACGAAAAATTTCAATTTTTTTTTCGTACATTACTCTTTTAATGACCAATTTACAAAATTCGATTTTTGACTTTTCCGGAATTGGAAATATATGAGATTCCAATTTACGATCCGATTTTAATTTACGAAAATTGCGATATTTTCCGAAAGTTACACTTGTGATGTCAATATTATTTATTTTATATTTTAGGTGACCAAAAAAATGATGGGAATTTTCCAGATTCGGCCGATTCAGATACAAAAAAATCCAATTTCTTTCCAATTTCCAAATTTCGACTTCCGATTTTCCTGATTCTTTTTGGGAACTGAATTGAAATCAGTTTTTCACTTCCAAAAAAAAAAAATCGGACTTGTTCCGAAGCTGCTAAAGACAATTAATATGTGCTGTGATGGATATTTTATGACCTTAAAATAATAATAGAAACCGTTGATATATTTTGCTTGTGCTTTTACCTCAGGAATATATACAATGTAGTGGATGACGATCCTGCCCCACGGGAGGAAGTATTTGAGTTAGCTCAGAAGCTGGTCGAACAAAAATTTCCAAGCCACTTAAAACAAAATACATCGCCTGAAAAATCAGAAATGCTACCGCCAGAGAAATCTTCGAGAGGAGAAAAACGAGTCTCGAATGCTCGTCTGAAGAAAGATCTCGGTGTGAAGTTGCTTCATCCTAGTTATAAGTCTGGATTGCAAAGCATCATTGAGCATATTCACATTTCTGGATAAAAACATATTTTAGGATTATTGTTTTTCTTTTTTCTCTTTGCTTTTTTTCTTCTCCGGAACAGCTTCGTATTCGTTGTTTTTTTTTCGCCTCACAATAGTTGTTAATTGGAACGAAATTAAATTCAATCGTGTGGATCCATTTTGAAATTAAATTCAGTCGTCTTGATATAATATACCTGTGGGTCCATTTTGATGAATTCAGTGATGGAAATCGGCTCGGATTGGATCAGAAATAGCACTTTCGGAAAATTTTGAATTTTTTTTTTTCGGAAGTGAAAAAATAATTCCGACTCCATCTCAAAAATTGGAACACAAAAAATTGTTCAAAATATTGAAAGTTTTGCATCGTAATTTGCGGAATTTAAAAAGTTCCAACTTTTAGTAACCGAAAATATAAAATAAATATACAGTTTTTGGAAGTTAAAGCCGTATGGAAAATTGGATTTTCGTAATATTCCAATTTCAAATCAAAAGAACCTCATAAAATCTTAAAATCAGAAATTGGAATTTTCGGAATAGAAAATACTGTTCCAAAACCGTAACATTTCGGATCTATCGAAAATTATGTTCCAATCGAGAAATAAATAAAAACTTTTTTCACATTATAATAAAAGCAAAAAGTAGAAAAGAAATAAACCAAAAACGAATCCTCTTTAAATTTCCATAATTACCCTCCACGTCACTGCTCTCATTATTCAACCGAACCGACCCATCAAGATACGGATACCCATACCCATAACCCGACAACCCGCCATAGAAATCTCTCACACCCCAAAACTCACGAAACTGGACACTCAATAACTCAGCCGGCGGCGGAGGCGGCGCCGCCGTCTCCGGTCGCCGCCCCAACGGCCGATTCGGGATCGATCTCGGATCGGTTGGTGTATTACCCCTGCCGTATAGAGGAATTAATTTTTCTTCGTGAATTAGGGTTTTACAGACAGGGCATTCGTGGCAGATTGAGTGGGATCGAAGCCATTTGTAAAGACAGGGCCAACAATGGAGATGCCCGCAGAGTGTGATTACTGGTTCTTTAGCTATATCTAAGCATATGTTACACTCGAAATTGCCGCCGCTGTCGTCTGTCTCCGCCGCTGCCGCCGCCGCCATTATTCGTGCCTCCGAACAAATATTTTTTGCCTGGATTAAAATAAATTAATCATGAATAATTCTTTTTGGTCGCAATTTGGTACAAGTATACTAAATTATCATTTCGATAATTTAATACTAACGATTGTATTAATTTAAAGAGATTTAGCTGTTATACGTGAATAACTAAAATGGTCAACAGTTGGATGCATGTTTGACTATGTTGAACTTCATTTAATTTAATTTCTTATAAACAAAAAAAAAGAACTTCATTTTATTTTGTACATGTACTTAAAATAAGTAGATTCGTATAAATATTAAATATGTGTAAGAAATTATATTGTAATTCAACAAAGTTTAGAAATAGTAATTTGAATCGAAGAGACATGCATTAAAATATATTTTTTTTGTTGATCTTGCTCACATGTTTTATAAAATCTTAGCAATATTTGTTATACAAGTACTAAAAAAATATATTTTTATTTAAAATTCAAAATGTAACTTACACAAGTGTTGATATAAATATTTCAATTTTCAATTCACATACTTAATATAACCATTTTTAGATCCACCAATCAACAAGTTAAAATTAGTTTTGATTAAAAAAAATCAATTTGATTTGTGGATAACCCAATTAATCAACTTACACAAGAACGATAGCCGTATAAGAAATAAATCCAAAAAAATTGTAATAATAACAGGAAAACTCACCGTAGAGAGTGACTTAGATCGAATGACAGGTGAACGAATTCAGACAAACTGCAGAGAAATAGCTGTTCAAGGATTATGATCAAGAATTTAAATGAAACAAATATATGACTTTTGCAAACAGCAGTGAAATTTTGACTTAAAAAGTTATCTTAATTCCCATTATATATATTATTAATTTATTAATTAGTAGTACTTCTTGGTTAAGAAAAGATAATTCATACGTCGGCTACTTGATAAAGGCGGTCCGATTTTGATTTTCGGTTTCCCATGCAAAAGTCAACCATATCAACCTTTCTATTTGGCCAACCCCTCTCCTTGTACTTATTATCATTATTATTTTCTTTTTTCTTTTATGTTTATCGAACTAATATTGATGCGGAGCACTTGAAATGAGTAGTTTAATACAGTAGAACCTCGATAATTTCATAGTCGATAAATTAATAACCTCGATTAAATAATAGTTTCTCTCGGTCCCGACTCGGTGAAAATGTGTTAAATTATTAACTCGATAATTTAATAATTCGATAAATTAATAGAATTTTCCTAGTCCCAACTGTATTAATTTATAGAGGTATAACTGTAGTTGGATAGTACAATTGTTCAGGAATAAAGGTTCGAATAACATGAACAGTAAATTGATCTGAGTATGTAATGTTTGTTCTTCTTTTCTGCGAAATCACTTAACACGCAGGACCACGTCGGGGGATTTATCGACGATTATACCCAACACTTAAATCAGATGATATATAGTGTGATAACTAATTCTTGAAAACAATTAAGTCAATAAGAGATCATAAATCTTTAAATGTTGATTATACTGAAAATTAAATATATAGACTCACATATGCTTTTGACTATGAAATCAATGTGAATGGGATCAATTCTTTTTATTTTAATTAAGAATAATTATGCCAAATATGAATCAAATGATTATATTATAATATTTTAGGGACACGTTTCATATTGGTTTTTTATTTTGCAATATATCAATTACATGTGGATATTTAAACTTTTATCTACCAATAAAATAATAAATAAGTCATTGTGGCAAATAATCTTTGAGTGGGAACACAGTTCCACAATTTGACATTTTAATATTTTATCAACAACCCACTCTAACTTATTATAATTTTACCAAATTAGCAAATTCCTTATGGTTGTTGAGTTTGAAATTTATCACATCTTTTGTATGAATAATATATAAAGTTTAGAATAAAACCAGCTTTATAATTTACTAATTTAACTTTTGGGTAAATTACACTTATACCCCTGAGGTATGCTAAAATAATTTTAAGGTCCTTATGGTATCGATAAATACATTCACCCCTGAAATATAGTTAGAAACTTTAATGGGATAATGCGTTGAAGAGTTCTAACGGACTATTAACAACCAACCAAACCCGGCACATCCAATTCCATTCCGATCAACAACTTGGCGCTTAAGGCATTGGTTTGCTAAATCGACATACAAGAAGATTGTATCATGGGTTCGAATCCCATTTCCTCCGGCACGGAAATGAAATGAAAGGGGCGGGCGAAATACTAGCTGCAGTTGAAGGCGCTTTGACTTGAGAAGAAGAAGTGGCAAAGGAAGCGACAAGTTCCTCAGATAGGCACGGCCACCACCCATGACGGGTCCGAAACGACGCTTTCCCCGGGCAGAAGTCTAGCTCGATCAATTTTCAATGTTTAGCAATGCCGATACTGCATCTCGCGCATGCCATTGATTCTGATAAACATCTAAATAGATATTTTCTCTTTATACCGTGGATCATTTCTTCTCTGTTAAGAAAGAAGTGTGCAGTTAGCTTCTTCTCTCGACCAACTACGGGATGAACGCCAACCCCGCTTTTTTCACTCCTCTCCCTTTGGTCGAGTGGCTATCGCTCCTCTTCCGTATCTGTATATCCGCATCTTCCTCATATGTTGTTTCTATACCTTCAAAAAGGCCTATGATCCACCATACTTCCCCCCATACCCCATATGAGAGGTGGAGACTAGGGGTGGTAAACAAGCCGATCGCGAGCCGGCTCGACAAAGGCTCGAACTCGAGTTTTTCGAGCTCGAGCTCGAACCCAATTTTAGTTGTTCGACAGCTCACGAGACGGCTCGCGAGCTTTTTTTATTTTTATTTTTATATTATGTATATATTATTATTAATTATTATTATTATTATTATTATTATTATTATTATTATTATTATTATTATTATTATTATTATTATTATTATTATTATTATTATTATTATTATTATTATTATTATTATTATTATTATAGTAAATAGTCTATAATAACAAATATCTCTAGTATTTAAATAGAAATAAATCTATATTACTTAGATAATTCATAATAATATAAAATATTATTGTAATAATATATAAATATTTAAAAAAAAAAACTACGGTTCATTATTTATTTAATTTTTTTTCATTTTACTATAAATATTTTTTAATAAAAAATTAAAATTAATAATTAAAAAAAGGAAAACTAAATGAGCTCGAGCCCAAAAAAAAAAACTCGATAAGCTCGAGCTCGAGCCGGCCAAAACAATCGATCTCGGCTTGAGCTTGGTTCGTTCACACCCCTATTGGAGGCAACAAAGAACTATTGGTGATTTAAGAAATGTTGGTGGAGTCATGTCACTCTGTAACTCTATGTTATCTCCACCACTAGCTAAAAGTAATAGTCGGTTAGAACTCTATCGGAATATCGTATCCAACGCATTATCCCATTATAGTTTCTAACTATGTTTCAAGGGGATGAGTGCAATTACCGATACCACGGGACCTTAAAGTTATTTTAGCAGGCATGGGTGTAATTTAACCTTAACTTTTTAAACTTGTAAAGAATGCAGTGATTGGATAGAAATGAAATTTCATCAAAAAAAAAGGATAGAAATGAAATTAAAATTGTGGGGCCCTCCTTTTTACATTTTCTCGCCGGTTGCAACTCCACGGGCGGCAGATATATGGCATCTTCTCGTAGTCGTAGCCTCATGTATTATATCTCCGAGAATTCCTCCATTGTCGGTTTCCGGTGGAGCCAAACCAAATCATGGGGCTCCACGTGGTCGTTCCTCTTCGATCACCTCCATCGCTCTTTACATCTACAAACCACCGGCCATCATTCTCCACGCCCTCCTCCTTTTTTGCCGCCGCGGCCACCGTCCCATCCCAACCCCCTTGGCCCCCTCCTTGCCATCCACTTCCTTAAAATGGCCCTCAGGAACGGCACAACAGAGAAATGGATACGGGGAAATCCTATATAAAAAAAATGGATACAGAAACACGGGAAAATGTGTAATTATTAAAAATATAAGAGTATATTCATAAATTCTATAAATATTTTAACATTAACGTATATAATTATCGTCAATAGATATGTATCCACCAATTATATTCAACTTACAGTTACAATCCGTATTATCAATGCACAAATTATCTATCGGACATAATAAATTGTTTTACTATAATATTAAGGGTTTTTTGCAAGAACCACCCCTGTGTAATCTTTAATTGCTAAAAAAGTCCCCGTGTTAAAAATATTAGCAAAAACCCCCTATAAAAATTTGTCAAAGCTAATAAAGTCCTTAACTGCTTATTGTGTATCGCACGCGCGGGTTGTGAGAGTAGGTTGTAATTTTTGACCGGCAAAGACTTAAATACCCTTCTAGAAATTTAAAAAACTACAAATCCACCCCCAAAATTCCTATAAGCCCAAAACAAAGTTTTCCAAATTATCACTTCAGTCCCTCATAGTTTATGAAAAGCCCTCTTCTTCACTACATCTCAAACCACCACTGTAATGTTAAACCCAGCACTCCCATATGACCCATCACCTTCGCTACGCCGCCCCCTTACCATTTCCCCTGCTGTCTAGGATTGCCCCTTCCACTGTATCTCCATTCACCTCACCCCATAAATGCCCCCATAAGAAAACCAACAACTCTTTGTGCTTCCTTCACAATACATTAGGATCCAAATTCCCATTAGATGGATACAGATCCGAAAAAATCGAAGCAAAACTCGCCCCAATAATCCTCCGGCGAAGGGCTTTGGAGATATTTAAATTGGGTTTTTTAATTTTTATTTTTTTGCCGACTTTTCCGTTTAGGAGAAATCAAAATCGACGCGTTACGATGTGGTACCGTTGGTGTAGTCGCGCCGGCACAGTGCTGATGGGGAGGAAGAATTGGGGTGGCGGGGTTGGGGGATCGATGTGGTGGTGCTGCGACGGCAAATGTTTGGTAAAGAATTTTAGTTGGGGAGGGGGTGGGGGGTTGGCTACGGGAAGAAGATGCTGTCAATTTTTTTTAATGCATATAATTTACATTTATCTTTGTTTATTTGTTAAGTTGAAATATTATTAAAGAAAGAATTAGGGGTAGTTTTGTCCTTTCATTGAAGTCAACATCCAAATTTGATGAAAGTGGCTGTGTGCTATATAAAATAGATTATGGGGAGGTATTTGCTAATTATTTTAACACAGGGTGTTTTATGGCAATTCGAAATTACATAGGGGGGTCTATGCTATTAGCTCATAATATTAATATATCTACAAAAAAAATCAAAAGGCCACTCAAGTGAAAAATAGCATAATACTTCAGACTTTTTCAAACGTACGCAAATTTGAATCTTTATGTAAAGTAGATTTTTTTTTTTTTTTTTTTCGAAAATGAGTTCCTACTATTTCATTATTACCTGAAACTTCTAAATATTTATACTATCGTGCCCGAAACGTTTCGGACAGGGGACATGAAATTTCGGTTTCCGAAACGCTACCATTGCAAACCCTTTGGAAAGGTAAGGTAAGTATTTCCATATGACAATTATCTCATAATAACTTGCCTACATCTGAATTCCTTTTCGAAGGAAAGTCTCTTAGCGCGAACATTTTCCCTCTTTGTAAGAACTATTCGGAATCCATTCCTCATCTCTTTTTCCAATGCTCGCCCTCTTTGTAAGAACTATTCGGAATCCATTGCTCATCTCTTTTTCCAATGCTCTTCATTCCAACCGCTTCTTCGCATAATTACAAAAATCTCGTTCCATCCTAATACAAATTTCTACATATTATCATATTCTATTTCTAAAAAAATGCGGATCTTGCTTAAAACAAATTTATACACTATTCTGGCTTCATTTCGAAAACTGGTAACAACCAACCTCTGAAAAGCTGGTATCGGAGGAATAATCCATAATAGCATATCGGTTGTACTACGAACCCGAAAAAACTTGATATTTCACGTATAATCGTTGACACTAGTGGACATTTGGAGAACATTGACTGAGTTCACCGAAGTTGCAGTGAACTTTCGTTATCAGGAACTTAATAGCATATTTACTTTCGTTATCAGGAACTTAATAGCATATTTTTTGCATAAACGATCTATATTCTGTTTGTTCTCGCAGTACTACTACCCCTTGTAATCGTTTCGTGTTGTTAAGCTTATAATAACAACAGTAGCTTTTACCTGTTCGAAAAAACCGAGTTGCAAGATGTAATTCCCATCCCTATTGCCAAAAAAAAGTCTCTTCAACTATGGTTACAACACGAGCCGCCGCAAGAAGTAAAAATTACATATAATGTCCCATTCCACAACAATATTAAAAAAGAAAAAGAAAATTAAAAGTAGAAATATTATGTCCCATTCTTCCCAATCCCAACATTTATACCAATATCATTTTCTTGATCTCAATCAAATAAGATCCTATCACAATTGCTTATATCAAATCACATGTGCAACAAATTACGAGCTCGAACAAGCTTTCTTGAGCTCGCTGTACCTCTCGAAATCGAAATCACGAGCCTTCATCAACCGCTTCTGCTTAGCACCAAACCTGCTCTGATAAAACCCTTCGAATGAAGGCTCTTTAGATGTCCTCATAAAGTATCCATACGCACCCATGAAATACGTAGACGTAACAAAGAAACAAATAGGTTCCATTACATCCCATGATAATTCCCAGAATGTTAGCCTCATGAAGGCTGCTGTTTGGACAACGAGATAGCCTAATCCGAGTTTGAACTCCCGTTTTACGGCTAGGTCAGCATCAATGTCGATTGTTGATTTTTGTTTCTCCATTTCTTGGAGTTCTTTCTTTCTTGGATCGTCCAGTTTGGTGTGGGTTATGGTCAAGGGTAACAATCCAGTGATGGCTTTCATCACCTGTGTCAAAAACAACAGTGCGCAAAACAAACATTTTGGTAAAACATATTGCTCTACTTTTCACCTGCACTTATGATTCTTTCAAGTTCAAACACAATATATTATGTATACTATTCCAATGTATGTGTGTGTGTGTGTGTGTATATATATACCCTCCGACCGTGCTGAAAATTTTATCCCTGCCTCTCACATTACCAACGGGATTTATAACCAAATTTATATACTCCCTTCGTTTCAAAATAAGTCAAAAAAATTAAGGTAAACCGACACACGAAATCTAATTAATAGACTTCTTTGTAATGGAAAGCTCCGAATGACCCTTTACAAAATCTTGAAGAACATGAACAACGAGCAAAATTATCGGAAAAAAATATGGACAAAGTGAGACTTATTTTGAAATGCAGGGAGTAGTTAGTTTCTTTTGTTATTGTTATTTTTTTTTTTAATTAAGTGGGAAAAAATAATCTGCATTGATCAGAAGAGATTGCACCCCCTAATAAAAGTCACCATCTTGTTTTGGGCCAAAGATTGTTTCCCTGTGGAAGAAGACATAGAAACACAAACACATAATGAAAAAAAACTAATCAGTTTTCGGTAGTGATCTCCAAATAAAAAGTACTTTTTTTGAGGGGGGAAAGGGCAAAAAGGAAATCTAATCACTGTAATTAGGTTGTGATTCTAACCTTAATTATTACTCTACTCTGTAATTAAACACACGGAGTATGAACTATGAACAATAAACAAATCAATTGAAACGGAAATTGATGGATCGAGTGAATAAAAAAAAATTGGGGGAAAAAAACCAACCTGTTGGGGTTTGAGGAAGACGATGTTTCCGAGAACAATTACAGTTCCTGATTCGTCGAGTATTTTAGCGAATTCCAGAGATTGATCTGTACTCGAGCATACATTATCACAGATCTCCAGAAATTCCGAATACGAAACGACGTCGTTCTCCACCGTTTTCAGCCTCGATTTCACCGTTTCCAGCTGCGATAGTTTGAGGATTTTTTTGGCGTCCGCCACCGTCAGATTCGCCTCCGGCGATTCCTCCAATTCCGCCTCCATCTCCGCCTCCGCCTCCGCCGGCGGCGGTATGAGTCCGTCGAGCCTGATCCTATCCTTGGAGATATCCATCTCACGGAGCTTCTCCAGTAGCTTCTCTCCGGTCGGAAGGTACCGGATCGCCGAGGGGGACGCCGCCGCAGCCGAGTTACGGTGGATATACCGACGGAATATTCCATCGTCCCCTGGATCTAGGGCAAATCCATTCGGCTTCGACGGATGGTTCAGGGAGGCCGATTTGGCGGCGGAGCACGGCGACGAGGTGCGGCAGTTAGTTACGGCGGGGGTGTTCGCCATTCTCGATAAGCTGAAGAGGCGCTGGGTAATCGTCTTCCTAAACGCCATTGTTATCGATATTCTAGAGAGAGAAAGTATATAGAGAGAGAAACAACAATACGAAGGAGGAGTTGCAGAAGCATATGAAACAATTGATGAACTGTTCACCCCGAACCCTATGCACTTATATAGGCAGCTATTTCACACCACCAAAACGGAACCGTTTAAAGCAAAACCACAAATAAATAACAAATTACGATTATATTATTAAAATATTATTTATTTATTTTGTTAAGGAAAGTAAAAAAATAGCTAAATATATCGTATCACGCGAACGTGTCGCCACATAATATTTAATTTTTATGGTAAGTGTATATAATATGATTTTATCTGAGTTGACGCCAACGTATCGCCGCGTAATAATTAATTTATATTATATGGTAAGTATACATATATGTTAGTAATGTGATTTTATTTATTTTTACTCAATTCAAATATCAAACCTAAACGTATTCCAGCCTGTTGCCTAGCTGTCTGTCTTATCGGGAAAAAGAAATTATTTATTTTTATGAATTTATTTAATTTTCTTACATTTTATCGGATTTGTTGATTATGGTGTGTACATAATATTAGAATTGGTATTACAACCCAAAATAGTATATTTATTAAGAAAATAAAGTATTTTTGCAAAATATTTACCAAACTGTGTTTAATCTATGGTATTCTTTTATATAACAAGACAAGAAAATTTGATATGTACACAAGTTTCGAATATTTATATGTGCCTAAACATACCCGAAAAATACGAATTCCCCAAAAATTTGTATTTTTTCTATTCCGCCGAAAAATCGTTGGTTCTACATTGTGTGCAAGTTGTGGCAAAGAATCGGAGAGTGAAACACGTTGATTTTCTTTATGTGTTTTTAACTCTCTTATTTTTCAAACTAAATTTTAGTTATGGTTAAGTGATTAGTGGGCTAAGTAGTACTTAGTGGGTTAAGTATAGTAGTTAGTGGGTTAAGTAGTGCTTAGTGGATTAAATTGTGGATTTTATCTTAACTTCTAAACTAACCCACTAACCCATGTTCTTGAGTGCTCTTGTAGTTGGTTTTCTTGCAGATCATGGGCTGAGGAGTGGAAGCTTGAAATGTCTATAAATACCGATTTCAATACTCAAGGAAGTTGATTGATTCCGAAGAAAAACACCGAGAGCTGAAAAGATTACATGAGTATTTTAGTGTGTTTTTAGAATCGGTTGGTTGTACTCCTCATGAGTACAATCTTTACGTACTTCTCCGAAGTACATTCTTTGTAGTCTAGATTGTTTAGTATATATGTTTCTAGACTTGGTTGTAAGAATGATCAAGATAGTGATTCATTCATAAGTTCTTTACGTACTCCTCACGAGTACATCTTTGAAATCTAGAGTTTTTAATATTTTTCTTTTAGTATCTAGATTTGATTGTAAGAATGATCATGAGAATGATTCATTCATAAGGAAGAAGTTTTCGCACCTCTTCTGTTTGTATTCTTGGAATACTGATTTTAATATATATTTTTCCGTCCTGTAAAGGGCAAGTTCACAAGTCTTTACTTGTGAACATTTTTAATCCTGAGTATTGTCTTTTAATCTTTATATTTCCGCTGCATGTTATCTCAAGTGTCATAACACTCCAGATAACATCTCTGTATTAAACGAATTCGGGACCTTAAATTCTTTCAATTGGCATCAAGAGCCAACACTTGACGTATACTAAGTGTTTGTTCCTATTTTTTTCAGAAACGAATTCGTGATGGATACTCAGATGACTGCTTCTATGCGACCTCCTGTACTCGACGGCACAAACTACACCTACTGGAAAGTCAAGATGAGGGCGTACATCAAAGCCATTGATGAGAGAGCCTGGAGATCTATTCTCACTGGATGGAAACCACCAACTATCACAGATGCGGATGGGGATGTGTTTTCAACACCAGAATTACGGTGGACACCAGACGATCTATCAAATGCTAACCAAAACTCAAAGGCGTTAAATGCGATTTTTAATTCAGTAGATTTAACAATGTTTAAATTGATCTCAGTGTGCACCTCAGCGAAGGATGCTTGGGAAGTTCTTCAGCTGCATTGTGAGGGATCAGACAATGTCAGAAGAACTAAGCTCAGATTACTCTCTTCCAAATTTGAGAGACTGAGAATGGAGGAAACTGAAACAATTTCTCAGTACAATGAGAAATTGATTGATTTAGCTAATGAATTTCAATCCTTAGGTGGTCCCTTGAGCAACGAGACACTGGTGAACAAGGTATTGAGAACTCTTCCAGAAAGGTTCAGCATGACGGTTACTGCTATTGAAGAAGCCAAAGACACATCGTCTCTACGGCTGGATGAATTAATTGGTAGCCTAAAGTCTAGAGAAATGAACTTTGAAGATCAGAGAAAGGAGAAAGGAAAGGCTATCTCAAATGCACTTCAGGCAGAATTGGAAAAGGAAGATGTTGCTCCGGAATATGATGATGATGCAGAGGAATGTCTCAACAATGTTGCATTCCAAATTCAGAAATTCAATAGGGTATACAGGCGAAGTGGAATCAAGCCCAGACAATTATTTCCAGATGGCTCTCCGCAAAATCGACAAACTCAGCCCCGGAACAGATCTACTCCACAGAGAACATTTCCTCAAACATCTTCTCAGAACACTTTAAAAAATTCTTCATTTGTTCGTTCAAATTCTGAACCACCTAACTTAGATCACATTAAATGCAAGGCTTGTTCAGGATTTGGACATTATGCTAATGAATGTGCAAATACCTTGAGAAGAAGAGGAATGAGTTTGATTTGTGCTGTCAGTGATGAGGAGGAAGAGCAACCTGAACAGACAGAGGAACAGCAATCCACTAAACAAGCTCTCTCTGTCAGATATATCACTGGAAATGCTTCTGAAACAGAATCACAAGGAGTTTCTCTGGATGCTGCAACACCTTCTGAAACACTTTCAGTAACTGAAATTTCTGAGTTTAATACTGATCATTATACATGTTTAAACTCTATTTCTTTAAATGCAGCAGAATCCAGTATTGAAGCAGCTAGTGATGAGGGAGAAATGTGTAAAAAACTGGCTCTTGACCTGGAGAAGAAGACTCAAGCTCTGGATGCAGCCAACAAGGAAAATTCCTCCCTCAAAGAAACAATCACACATTTGGAGGTTGGTATCACCAAGAAGGATCTTGAACTGGCAAAGGTGAAAGATGAACTCAAAAAGGCAACTCTAGCAATCAAGAGGATGAACACTGGCACAACTAAACTCGAAGAGATTGTGTCAATGGAAAAGCACTACAAACATGAGGGCTAGGGTTCAAAAAACAAATGAAGCCAGTTAAGAAGAAATAAATTGTCTTTGTAAAAGAAAAGGGTGCAAACAGAAAGGAATGCAGGAAGTCCACAGTCACCACTCCAGATTCCAGAATAAGAGGTTATGTTTGCCATTACTGTTTCTCACCAGGACATATTCGTCCATTTTGTGAAAAACTCAGTAGTGACAAAATGTTGTGTAAAATAAGCCACATCACTCCAAGGAACACCTCAAAGAAAAAGGTAGAATTTACCAAAAAGGAGTGTAAAATATGGACTCCCAAAGGTAAACTTTTGTGCAAGGCAGTATACACCTCTTTAAATGCTAACATTTCAGGTTCATGGTACTTTGATAGTGGATGCTCTAGGTACATGACTGGAACAAAGGAATTTCTATCAAACTACCACACACTTAATGGAGGACGTGTAACCTATGGAGGAGGAGCTAAAGGCAAAGTGGTTGGACGTGGAACACTCAGTATTGAAGGACTTCCAAAACTTTCAAATGTCCTACATGTTGAAGGATTGGGGTCAAACCTCATCAGTATCAGTCAATTGTGTGATGATGATCTACGTGTAGAATTTGATAAATACTGTTGTTCTGTGTTTGATAATCAAAATCATTGTGTACTAACAGGTTCCAGATCAATGGATAATTGTTATCAAACAGGTGACACCATCTCATGCAAGAGCTCAAGAGTAAGTGAAGTAGAGCTGTGGCACCAGAAACTAGGACACACAAACTTCAAGAATCTGAAGCTGCTCAACAAGTACAATGCCATAAGAGGAGTACCAGATCTCAAGATCAAGGATATTCCTATATGTGGAATGTGCCAGAAGGGAAAGCAAACCAGAGTACCACACAAAGTGTTGCAACACGTTGGTACCACTATTTGTTTTGAACTTGTACATATGGATCTTATGGGTCCTATAGAGGTAGAAAGTCAAGGTGGTAAAAAATATGTATTTGTGTGTGTTGAAACTCTTTGTGGTAAGAAACCTAATCTAGAATACATGCATGTTTTTGGATGTGTTTGTTATGTCCTAAATAAAAGAGATCATCTAGCTAAATTTGATTCAAAAAGTGATTTGAGTTTATTTGTGGGATACTCTAGTAACAGTCATGCATATAGAGTATATAACTTAAGAACTCGAACCATTGTTGAATCTGTAAATGTGGTATTTGATGATTTTGCCGATCTCCGCAGTAAAACAGCTGAAGATGAAGTTGATGACCTGATTGCTGAAGGAAAAACAACCGGAGGAGACACTACTGCCACAGATGCTCCAGATATAAACAGTCCAGTATCAAGAGAAGAGGGTGTTGAGCCAAGTGTTACCACATCTGACTCAATACTTCCTACACAGAGCACAGAAGCTGAATTGCAGCCAACTCATGATGTCTGCTCAAAGGAACCATCAAGTAGAATCCAGAAAAATCACCCCTCGACTCAAGTTGTGGGAGACATCCTTAATGGGATAAGGACCAGAAGAAAAGAGAGAGTGAATTACAGAGATATGGTAAGATTTGCAAATTTATCTTCTGAATGTGCACTAACTGGAACTACTTGCTTTGTATCTTCAGTCGAACCAAAGAATATTGCAGAAGCACTGAAGGATGAGTTTTGGATTAATGCAATGCATGAAGAGCTGAATCAGTTCATCAGGAATGATGTTTGGTACTTAGTTCCCAGACCAAGTCATGTAAATGTGATAGGAACTAAGTGGATCTTCAAAACCAAAACTGATGAAAAGATTCTATGTCTCACACTTTTGAAATGAGCATGGTAGGAGAGTTGAATTACTTCCTAAGACTCCAAATCAAACAGACAGGTGAAGGAATGTTTGTAAATCAA